TGGGTGAATTTAAATCAAGAACTGCACCAATGTTGATGGAGGAATAAGTTGACCGGGCAGTTGCATGGATTTCACTACTTGCAGCAACTGATTGGGCTCTAAACATGAGGGAGAGCAAAGTGAACAAGAAGAACATATGATGGTCGTTCTTGATACTTTGCATTTCTGACTCCCCTGAACAGTACTAGTAAGTATGCCCTTTATATTGAGCTTTGCGGGGGAATTTAGATATGTGCAAAAAGTCAGCTATTGATGCTTAGTTACAGGTCCTTTTAATTGCCGCGGTCTCCCTATAACACTTTATTAGGAGAAAGGCAAAATGTGGGGCGCTTCAGAAATAAAATTAAGTATTATCAACCACACGCGAGCGCAAAGGGATTGAAGACTGTGAGGCACAAATGGGAAATTTTAAGGTCAACATACATCAGAAACTTATCTCTGCCCCGTTTGGATTGCATTTTTCTGGATATTTTTGTAGAAAAATTACTGTAGCGATTTGATATATGTGAGGTAAAAAAGTAATAGGGAAATGTGTTCACGAAAAACGTAACAATTTTTCAGAGGAAAATCGCAATCCAAAATGTCAAACTATGTTAGAAGACTTTGTTAAAGAATTAGATAGTGTTTTGAGTCTTGAAATTACTTGAACTAGTCATTTCAGTAGTATCACACATTAGTAATTTACAATTACTGGTGCACATTGAAGTGGACAGGAAATCTTGAATATGAACATGTCAAAAATCCAAAGACGTTTCGAGGAAATGATTTAGATCAGAAGCATGATTCGTAAGCGCTAAGTAAAGCTATAGCTGCAAATAAGTAGAACCAGATTCCTTCTAGCTTTAAAACATAACTCAACCTTTGAGGCCCCATCTTTTACCTCAACTTGATGGTGGAAATGCGGTCAAATCTTGAATCAAGATGTAAGTGATCTAAATCATCTGTTTTGTTATCTAAATCCGCAATCAAAAAACTTGCATTATGTTCTTTTATCTTCTGATTAAAAGCGCACATGAATAAAGATGTTTATATCTGCTCGCAATATCTTAAAGATAGGACAAATTAAGTGTTGAAAATCCTACGGATACGATTCTTGGCAAGACCATTGCATTCACCACACCTCAATTTCTCAGAAATTTCCAGCTCCCTCCGTCCTTATAACCACCTAGTTAACGCATTGAAACACAAATATGACCCATCGCCCCTGTTAGAAATTTCTCTTCTTTTACTCTTGCGTGAGAATTGGCTTAATATTTCAATTGTCTTCTCGTTCACAATCAAATATCTTGTTCTTGCTTGCCCCTTTTTCCTTGTCTTTCTTGTCTTTACTTCAAAACAAATACTACTCCAAAATGGTGGCCATTGAGCCATTGGCTGATGACAGCTACTATACTAATCCAGGTCAACTAACTAAATACGTTAGAATGTTCTGTTTGCACATATTGTCCATTACTACATTATTTGATAGACACTCCTGTACTTGTAATTTTGCATTTAACTGGTTGGCAACATGCTTTAAGCTCGAAGAATGTCAAAATCGATGGCTTCAACTCTCGTGCTCCCATCAAGGTAGTTGAGTTAATCTCTTACTAAAAAAAACACAAAGAAATTTTCACTAGAAAGGCGCAGATTTGTATTTAATTTTTAATTTCTCGATTCAACTAATGAACACAAAATTCCTCATTCAAACTTTAACAGCATCTTAGCAGGACAAGAAAGCCCTTAAATTCCAATATTACTGGTCTTTTCAGCTGTCACATTCTTCGTCCAAGCCATAAACCGGTCCTACAATCTTGTTGCTTTCAACACATAGAAGGGCCGAAAAAATTAGGTAAACTAACCCATTCGTTTGTATAAAGTATTATTTGAAATAAATATTATAATATTTTTTATGATGTGATGTATGTAAAATAAAAAGATAATTAAAAATATAAAAAAATATATTTATAATACAAGCAAAATATTATTAATTGATTATTCAAGCCGTGCATTGATTCGGTCCAACAATCCTAAGTCGACGACCCCTGACTTTACAACTATCAAATGTCAACGGCCATGTGTGCCCGTGACGCTTTGTCAAGTGTGTGTAGCCAAAAATCAAGTTGGGCTGATTATTAATTACTCATGTCAGATGCAGACAAAAAGATTCCCAAACTTAATTATTCTAGCTCTTTTTTTTTTTGTTTTGTGTTTCCCCCCGCCGCGGCGGCGGGGGGGGGGGGAGAGGAGGATTCTTTAATTAGCTATTCCAGTTCTAAAACAGTCTCAAGTTCAGCACAAGTCAAAAGAAACTAATTGGAAAAGTTTAAGAATGAAAAGAGGATTTGAATGAGTGTTTATTGTTAAATATGGCAATTTGATCCTCTTACTCGTCTTCTCCTCGTTTGATTTTTTGTGTATTGTCCCTTCATTCCGTTAGGTCAAACAACAAAAATTGACAGAAGGATCAAAAACTTATGCAGCAAATTGTTAAAGGGCTTAAGTATTGATACTAGTATAATTTAGGTGCCAAAAATGTATAAAAGTAATAGTTTAGGGACTGATTGGACAATTTACTCTAGAATTAATTATTGCGCAGCTGAAAAGGAAAAAAAAAAAAAAAAGGGACAAGCAAATCGGTTTCGTAGGGACTCAGGAAGGAAGCTATCTCCTATAGGTGGCTTGTGTGCATGTCCAGATATGCAGGACTGAATTTAGATACTTACTAGGGAAATTTTTTTTTTTTTGGGGGGTAGAAATGCTAGAAAAAAGTTGGAATCTACTTGTTTACTTTGTGTCGATGATGCTGCGCATTTTCTGATTCAGATACATCGTATCGACTAAGTCGTTCTTGTCACTGTTCCATTAACATTTTTGCTGCATGAAGATATTGAATATGTACAGAACTTAAACTTTTGATAATTTTAGTTGTGGGTGCTCTTTAATTTATTGCTGCCGTCTCTCTGCAGAACTTTAAAAGGAGAGACAGAGAGTTTCCATGTTGGATGCCTTCTGATTTGAATATACCATAAGCTTTAATCAAAGAGAGAAAGAGAAACTTCGTGGAGCCAAGAAGATAGCTTTAGAAAATGAAAAACTTGATCAGTAAGATAGGAAGATACTATCAGTGACGGTTGACGCTAAATACATAAAGACCACGCCAAAATCCATTGTTAGTATCCAAAATAGTTGAAAGAAGAAAAGATTAATTTCAGGTATATATATATATATATATATCCACATTCTACAGATTTGAACTGGCTTAAAACAATACATTAGTCTCTTCTAATCTAATAGTGAATGGCGGCATATCTTGGCTCTTGGTCCAGAGTTTGACAGGAAAGTCAAATTTTTACGTTCTTAAAACCTCAACTTCCTGAGTCATTTCCTGGAAAAGATCCATGCTAATGTACAAAAGAAAAAAAAAATTGTTTACAGTGGCTGAAATTGTATAACAATAGTCATGTTGTACCTTTAGAATACAAGAACGTCGGCCACTTCAGGGCTGAGCTTCTAGAATTCTATGGTATGTCGTTTTAGGGTAGCATGTTCGTCGGCAACAGAATAGCGTTCCTGTTGCTTAGGAATTGCTTTGAATTTGTTCGATTCCCAAACATAAATTTCTCCCAAACCCTTTTAGTCTTAATATTGCTTGTGTTTGTATGATAGCAGAAAGTTCACGCAACTGGGAAATCTTCTCGTTAATTAGATGGCATGCATGCAAGTGGTAGATGAGTGAAAATTAATGATTGATTCCTAGTCAATGTAGAAATCATTCGATGTGAGTATTTGCCAAGTGTTTGATTACATTGTAAATTTCCTAACTGTTAACGCTAATAAAACAGGATTGATAGCCATGAAAATTAACACTGAAAGTAACGGAGTAGTAGGTGATTTGATAGCGTTTAGTCATTTGAGTTCAATAAGTGTGTCTCATAAATTATATTTTACTCCATCTCGGGGTATATTAATAATTTGATAAGCATTTTTCAACTCAGCTACACCGCATTTAAATTTTTTGTTACACCATTTTCCAATCCAATTACACCAAAAGCCAAACTTGGTCGAAAATGGAACTTGTGAGGCCCCCATCCGCGTAGTTTCAGTTTCAAGCCTTTCCGAATGAGTTAATCTTGACAAGATCCAATACTTTATTCATCAGCGAATACAATTCAGAACGAAAAGTCTTTGCATTGGATCTTTCTATATATAATTCACACACAATCTCCTATTCACACAGAGCAGGTTCATTTGTTGTTTATGATATAGTACAATAAGATACTATTTCAATTGTTGGCTAGCAACCAAGATTGGCACAAAATTGACGATAAGTGTCGTGGGATCAGGCCAACCACATCCAAACACAACTTATTTGGCCTTCCTCCTCATTTTCTGAATCGTACATACACTTGTATATATTAAAAAGGAAGTCGCAAAATTCTTGTTATCGTGTCTTGCTAAAAAGTAGTAAAAACAACACGGTGTTTTATAAGGGGTCCATGACAATTCTGGCATGAAGCTATTTTGGCCAAAAGCAAGCAACAGGTAATTGTGCTATAAAGTTCATATTCATATTGTTAACTGGAAATCAAAATCGCCCATCCATCCAGGGCCAGGTCTCGTGTGCACTGATAGCAAAATTAATCTCAACATCAGTTTCAAAGTTCCATTTCGTCGTAACCTTTGGCCCTTTCAGTGATCAGATAGGTTTTTTAGCGATCACAAGTGCGAAAGCATGATAAAGTAAAGGGTGGCGGTAGGGTTAGTTTGGAGTACGTTAAATGAGTGAGTTTAATTGTATAAATGTAAGATACAACTTTCAGGAGAACAGAATTTACTTTGCTTTTGTTCATTATTACCTTATAGTTTGTACCTCTTATTGTTTTAGTCTGAACAGTAAGTTGTCCCAAAGCATATTATATTTCACACACTATGGTACTGGAGAATTACCGAAGGCCCCAGATCCTTCTTGTGTAGGCCTGAAATAAAGAATATACTTCTTTGGATGATGACACAGGAGATAAGAGGGGAGCTAAATTGGTACAAGTTGTCTTGTTTGCCGGAGTTTAAAAAGAGAAAGGAGGAGGAGAAGAAAACGGAACAAACAACTGTCTAAATTCTCTCAACTTTTGCACTTCCAGAGCTAGAGTACACGGGAAAAAATGTCACCAAGTAAAGGGGGGGAAAAACGGTACTCTTGTTTATAATGATGCTGAGATTTTTTTTAAGAACATCTTCAGCTTTCGACTAAGACTGATACATTCTTGTTGGTCCAGCTGATGCACTGACATAGTTCAATTCAGATGTTCATGTTTGTGTGGGTGGATTCGGGAACTTCAACTTCTCTCGCTGAAACATCTTCACTGCTGCTCTCAAGTACCTCAACTTCCTCTGGTCTGTCAGACGTATTTGTTTTGCTCTCCTGAATTTCATTAGCTTCTTCACTGGAGGACTCACCTGTGGCATCTGTATCACTTACTGAATGAACACTTGATTCTTTGCCTCTAAAAATTGGAAAACTGCAACAACATCTTTGACCATAATGTGATGCCGTAGTAGTAAATCTCTGTCCAACTGAGGTCTCTGAGCAGAATAGTGAAAATATGGCTGCTGAACAGATGATTATGAAGAGGCCTCCAAAATTATATGCAGTAAGATTTGGATTGTCTCGATCAATTGAATCAGAGGGATATCCAGGTCCAAGGTTTTTCTGCTCAATTATAGTCATGTTGGGACCTTGGGTTATGTTAAGGATTGCCCTTGAGAAATAACTAACCAGCGGAGAACCAATTGGGAAAGCCTAAATTCAGAAGAACAATGTAATTCCATGTCAACTAAATGGTATCATATACATAACTCACACAATGGCATAAAGAATGCTTGTGTTTAGAAGTTTTAGATATTCAGCAAGAAATTAGATGTGTGATCACTTAAATGGAGCCAATGGTATCAGAAATAGGGCATTTCCAAGACCTCTGGATTAGCATAAGCAAAAGGGGTCATACATAGAAATAGAGGACAAGGAAACTCACGAAACCAAAGCCTTGTGTTTTGTATGTTCGCCCTGCCATCCTGTACTCAGAACCATATCTGTTCAGGAAAAGCTTCATGTAAGGGGACTCAACAACAATGGCATCAATACCACCCTTCCTGCTACCTCGAGACATAGCATCATGATAGTCCTCGAATCTTCTGTAGCTCCTCAACTTTGACTCGTTCAGGTGCAGTTCAATAATCAAAAAATCTCTGGTGAAAGAACCATGCTGATGACCGACATAATACTCCTCCGAAAATGAAAATTCCAACTGATCAACAGTGAAAATTGACGATAATTTCGCTGTGTAACTTTGCATCAATATGAATGCCACAAATAGCCATACAACTAACACAAACCTTGACCAGTTGTTAGAAACCATATTCCCTGTCAACAACACAATATATGGTCTGGTGATTAAAGCATTTAAGAATTGGTTCATCATCTATTTGTTTATAGAAGTGTAAGGGAAAGCAAAAAGCTTGGAAAGAATTTAGTTGTATTGGAAGATCGTCTTACTTTCAGGAAATGCAAGAGCTGCAATAGGAAAAACGAACAAGCCAACTTGTTGCCCGCGGGGCATTGAAGAGCCAGCATCAGTGCTGTTTCTTTCACACTCCATTATTCTGAGAACAACTTCTATGAAGATACATGCCACAATGATGGCCAGCCAAAGATCCCACCTTAAAGGCTTTAAGAAAATCCACATATCTATGCTCATTTTGTTTTTGACAACCATAACAACTCCTGATTCAGTATATGGGAGGGTAAAATCAACAAATGCAGCTCGATCAGCCAGAATTGTTATGTCTCCCACCACAAAATCATATGTCTGCCTTATCAAAGAAATGGAGGAATGTTTCAGATTGTTTCCAATGTTATTCCTAACCAAAAACAATATAAAAATCACTGTTTAAACACTGGATATTATACGCATGAACCACACAAACCTGATCAAGTATCTTATGAAGCAGATCAGTGTAACTCCCATTACGATGTCCACTTGCATTCATAAAAGGCACAAACTCATAATCGAGCTTGAAAGGTAATAGCTGCAATGAAGCAATGAACACATCTATAGAAAATCCACTTACTTGAGGCTGATTTGTTAAAGGATCTACTTGTACTTTCACAAATTCAGTGAAACCTTCTTTCTTAGGTACCCCAACTTTAAGTTTTCCACTTGAAGGAATAGCCCAACCTCTTGGTGGTACTAATGTATCTCCTGGCCACATAATTGTTTTGAGTTCTTTTGCGGAAGTTGACCGTAATATTTTGGAAATTCCTCTACTTGGAGTCCAGTATCCAACTGTCCTATCTCCTGTTCCAATCATATTGAATATCTCAAATGCTAAAGGTTTCAGTTCACCATCAACCAGTTCGAATTTCCCACTCAGGCCTGAGAATTTTGTATGGGAGAGTTCAGTCAAAAGCTTCTGGCCAATCTTGGAGATACCTAAATTGGAAATCTCACGTTCATTTTCTCCATGGCTTAGCTGTAGGAGATTAGAGCTCACAGGCAGAAGTTTTTCAATTGCCATTGCTAAGGCTCAGACTGTGTCATATGCCCACAAACCATAGATATTTAGATCCGTCACTGGAATTTCAGGTTTCATCAATAATGCATTCTTTGTCCACCTTTCTTGGAAATCCTTGAGCTTCTTGGACTTAGGTACACAATGCCTTATGCCCAATACACCTTCCAAAGAAGAAGAATCCTCAGAATTTAGGAAGTTGGAGAAACTATCAGTAATGAGCCAGGCATACCCTTCTGTCATCATTCCAGCTTTTCTTGCAAGGTTAAAAAGCCTATATCCGAGTAATGTATTCATGTGCACCAGGAATACCCTGGTTTGCATGGCCATCAATTTTTTTAGTTCTTTTGTAATGTAAACATCATCAGCCGATGTAGAGACAGCACTCGAGTATCCTACACGAATATCAACTTCTTGGAATTCTTTATTTAGCTTAGACATGAATACATTTCCATGGCGATTGTCTTCATAGATAACGACTATGTTATGCCATCCAAATTGTTGGCAAATGGCCGCGAGACCTTTGACTTGGTATAAGTCATCTGGAGACATTCGAACAAAGTAAGAGCTCTTAGTATGGGAAAAGCCTTGGCCCTCTGCAGTAAAGGATATAACAGGCACATGAGCCCTTGCTCCAAGTTCTACAACAAATGCAGATTCAGTCAACGACTCTGGCACCAAAACACCATGCACTTCCTCATTCTTCAGCAATTCTAGAACTGCAATTAATTCACAAACAGAAATTCTAAAGCTGCATTTTATTCACAAAAAATGGGTTTCTATCTATACGTTTAGTAAACACTATTCTAAAATTGGATTTCATACTTTGAATAGATTGTTGATTATGTTCAATCAAGGGTAGAAAACAAACCTCTGATATTCTTTGTCTGTTTACCTATCTTTTGTTTTTGCACTTCATCACCAGTTTTAGAAGAAAACAAACCAATTTGTGACATTACATCCATCAACTGTGTCCTGAAATTGCTGTGAAAACCAATTATAAATATGATCTAAATTCTGCCTAATGAATGAGCTTCCTACATGAAGAGAACTCTAGAAAGATAGCTGGCATGGACACCATGACCGACATAGCAAGTCAAGTAAAAGCCGCATTGAAATGATTATCCATAACGACTATATTACAGAAAATTTGAAATAAAATGCAAAAAGGATTTGGGACAGGATTTGCATCTTTTTTAGTTAGTGGCATACTATCTTTAAAATGGACAAGACTTCACGATTTTAAAAAACTTGCTTAATTTGTCTTCTGAGGGTCAATATAGCTTGAGTCAGTTACTTCCCACCTCACTGGTGGAAACGAAACAAATAGTAAGCAAGCAACATCTTTTAACAAGCTAAGTAAGAAATCTTTTATTAACCTGAAAGATTCAACCGCTGGCAATAATTCAAAATTCAAAGAAAATGAACTAGTACCACCTGCAGACGCCACTCCAAACTCCCCCTTGGCATTCTTGCGGTGGAGAGATAACCTTGTTTGATAATTTGAATGAACTGAATAGAAGTCTGAATGTGCCATCGACAAGCACAAGTCTAACATGGCTCCCATGGGTGAATCCAAATCAAGAACTACACCAATGCGGATGGAAGAATAAGTTGATGACAGTCCAGTTTCATCCGTATCATTACTCGAATCAACTAGAGACGTGAGGGAAAGCAAGAAAACAAGGGCAAACAAAAGAAGGCTTTTAATAGCCATTGCTGGAAGCATCTTAAAGGAATGCATGCTCTGAGCTATTAAAAGGATTCTGAAGAGAAACTTCATGGCAGCAAAAGAGGGCAAGGGAAGACTTGAGTAGCAAGATAAGCAGAAAATATCTCAAGATTGAAGCTATTTATATAGCGAGGGACAATGTCAAATCAAAAACCAGTGTTCTACTGTTAACTAAACTGGAAAGGAATTCAACAATGTGTGGAAACTCTAAAGCTTGAAATGGTCATTGAAGTTGTACATGAAGGTGACAGGAAAGGATAAATATGTCTATGGTTAAAACTTATGCTCAAGGGGGATTTCCAGGAAACACCCAGCCAAGAAGTATATTTACTACTCAGTACCGTATCAAAGAGGGAGCTAGGTAGCTAGACAATGAAAAGGTAAAACGATTTAACAATACAGCCAAGGTTATTTGAGCTTTTAGAATAAAATAACACCCAAATCAGTGTGAACCGTAGTAAATGATTCAAGTAGTGTTTTTGGAGACATTCTGCAATACTATATCTGTTTTTTATTAGCATCCAAAATGTCTAGGCATTACATTGGAAGTATCAGTGTTCATACTCTATCTGTGGAGAATATTCCCAACTCGATCTCCTTTGGCCTAGTTCATGGACTAACTCTTGATACATAGAAGATTCTCCTTCTCCTCGTTCTTCTTTATATTAGACAGATCCAAAACTTAGGTTCTCCTGCACAATCCGACATCTCCATCTCCTAGTGAAGTTTCTTTTATGTATTCCTTGTCTTTCCGCTTTTGTTACCAATGGTAGCATGAGTGCAATTGGCGGATGATTAGTAATCAAACTAGCTAAGAGCAGAATAGCCGGATCATTTGCAAGTCCATCATAGAAATCCCGTTTAACCATTCAAAGAACCTTGATTTTATGAATATACTAATGAGCATTGTAACCATTATTAATCCAACCTTTTCTGCAGTTGGCACAGACATGTTAGTAATTAATTTCTTGCATATTGTGGTATTTGTTACCACCATTCAAAAGAATTTCTCCCATTGTTAGTCTTGTAAAACTAGAATAACAACAAAATCATCGAAGGCAACAATGGCATTTTTAATGGCCGAGCTCTGGACTGTTGTGGACTAAATAAATCACCAAAGTTTGACTTAACGGAATAAGGTAGTTTGTCACAATCCTTTACTTAAAAGTGGATGTCATGCCCCATCAACCTTCTTGTATCTTTCCATGTATATCACGAATTGACTAGCCAAATTTTTTTTCTTAATCTAAATGCTAAGAGTCTCTATTAAGCAAAATGTACTTTTGCGTGAAAACTGAGAAGTCTAAAATCTTGGAGTTAACCTGGCCACCAAAACCAAGCTCAAGATTTGGCTTGCTCCCATAAACCATAGGCCTCTTTCTTCATGACACTGAAGACGAACAATCTTCCAGCTTCCACAATGATGTATTCTTGACATGGTTGATGGAGAGGAAGAGAATCCAAGACTAGAGAGATGGAGGAGGAGGAAGGGGGGGGGGGGTGGAAGATGTTGAAGAAAGGAAAAAAGTTAAAAACAAAGTGGGTGCTTCAAGGGCGTGACTTACATCGGACAGGTGAACTGGCGCCTTCAGGTTTCAGTGGAAGAAGCCGTCGTCACATTACATGGTTGAGTATAACGCCTTTTAGTGAGTACTTTGTGAGACCCCAATTTCGGAGTCCGTACATCCTGACAAATCTGAAAATTTACCTGTGTACCAATAGGTGCACTTCTACATTCCTTTAAAGAAGGATGCCCCAACCTTAGCGTGATTATTTGGTATTAAAGGAACAGCATCCATGTTTTTGACAAAAAAAATGCTTGGACGCTTTCCTAGATCATATGTGAATCAGTATGGATTTCCTGCATAGAATAGGGAAAAAAGGAAAGACTAAATAAAGTAAATTTACAACTAGAAGCTGGAATATGAATCAACTTAATCTACAATATGTTCCTGTTGTTAAACATATAATCGAACCCAAATAAACAAAAAATAAAAAATCATGTAGATCCCCTCATCGATTCACAGACAGGCGAACCAAAGCTTAGTAACTAGCTAAAATAAAAATCGATGAACCATAAGGAATAGCTTCATGCAACATGTTCAGCCCTCTAAGTTGTGACTTGAATAACTTTTTTGCTCAAAAAGCACCAAAGAAGCCCGAGACAAACATTCAGATTATATCCTACTTGCTGAAGTTTTTACATGCTTCTAGTACTTCATGAACTGATCTGTCTTGCAGAAACAGCAATGTCTCTTTGCTCAGACTCAGTTTCATTTGCTTGACCATCTGTAGCTGAAATGTCCGCATTTCTTTGCTCAGATTCACGGGCAGGTGCGCCTGGTCCAGACGAATCATCTAAATTTAGCCTATCAGAGTCATCAGGCCCTTGTTCCTTTTCACTGGATGAATCTCCACAGCGATCAGGATTGGCTGTCGAGTTAACTTTTGGTTCGTTCCCCCTGAATGATAGGAAAACGGAACATCTGTGGTGATAGTACCTGACCCTTTCAGTCAGCTTTTGACCAACTGAGGTCTCAGAGCAGAACAATGCAAATAACAGAGCTGAGGCTACTAGAATAAAAAGTCCTCCAAAATCAAAAGTTGTTAAACTCGGGCTTTGCTTGTTGACTGAATCACTTTGATTAAAAGGCGAATACTTAGGTCCAAAATTCCTTTGCTCAATTGCATTCATATTTTCATCTTCTGTCACTGATAGGATTGCTCTTGAGAAGTTAACAACTAGTGGAGACTTCAAAGGGAACGCCTGGAGAAACATTGTATGATATTTTCAAGTATAAATATAGAAGTTGTCGTACAGAAATAAAGAAACACATGTCAATGCACACAATTCCAATTTCTCAAGCAATAAAATCTGTATATAAAAGTTCACATCTTATATTGTACAAATGCTTCTGAGCATGTGACTGTGTTGAAGCGTGCTCATATACTGTCCTATTATACCTGGATGGAACACACAAAGAGGGAGGGAGAACTTACAAAGCCAAATCCATCTGTCCTGAATGTAGTGCCTACTATTTTATAGTCGGAGTCGTATCGATCAAGAAACAGCTTCATATAAGGGATTTCATCAAAGATGGCATCAATTCCTCCATTTTCGCTCCCCTTATTCATGGCATAATGATATTCCTCAATAGTTGAGTATTCCTTGATCTTTGACTCATTAACATGGAGACGATCTACCAAGAAATCTTTCGTAAAGCTGCCTTTTTGGATGCCGATGTAATAGTCATTTGAAAATCTGAAATCTAGCTGATCTACTGTGAAAATTGCTGATAGATTTGCGGTGTAGCTCTGCATCATGATATAAGCCATTAACAACCACACTACCAACACAAACCTCGACCAGTGGCTGGCAACCATGTTTTCTGTCGGCAGCAGAACAGATAATATTACTTGAGTTGATTGCTCAATACTTACTATTCATTTATATGTAGAAGATAGGA